TCTCTGCCTCTTCCTATCTCTCGTTGCCTCCAACAGAAAAGACTTCCCTACCAGCTGGTCCAGGTAGCTGGACTAGCAGCTAGTCAGACACCTCAGGTTCGTTCCCGTGCCATTTTCTTCCCGCAAAAGGCTTGTGCTCTCGTCCACCGTCCCAGGGAGTGGAGCTTGGCCCAAAAGCTGTCAGTAGGTCGACACAAAGAGACCTGGCCGGCGGCAGCGAGCTAGATGTCACTGACGCACACGCCACCAGGTCTGCTGCACCTTCTCGTGAAGCTTCCTGCAAATACCCGCGAGCCTCCGTCACATTCCAGCCTCCGCGGCGTTCTCGTCCGCCTCACCGCCCCCTTCCTCGCTTGGCAGGCTCTTCTCGGATGCTCCGCCGGTGTCACCGGCCTCCGTCGCGTCTCCAGTCTCGTCGCCCTCCTCCAGTGTTACCTGAAGACAGATTCACGAGTCAGTTAAGATCTCTGATGTAGAGACCAGGAAACAGTGGTTTAAAGATGTCTTTTGAGGTAGGGCTTTCGCCGATTATAGCCATTTTTAGGAACCAAGTGTCTAATGAGATCTCAAATATCCCAAGCAAAAACGGGGTTAATGAAGTTATAGAAGCTTAAGCTAAGACTATAGGCCCTAGCTCACTGGTGTCTTTATTAAAATAGACACCAGTCTCCCTAAAACCAAGACCCACAAAGCTCCAAAGACCCCAATCTCACCTGGAAGTGTATCCTATCCCCCTGCTGTTCGTTCCCCTGCTGTTGCTGATCGTCGGACGGCGGTGAGGGTGGGATCATTGACTGGTACCAATCACGGTTCTCCTCGAGCGTGTCCAGAATCTCCTGTGCGTCAGGGTGCACCAGGTCCGCCCAGGTCTCCCACAGGGGATGGACGATGTAATCGATGAACCCGACCTGGGATTTCTCGATAGTTGCGCTGTGCCTGTCGCACATGGGGCTGATGTCCATGTTCTGCTCCCTCTCGCGGTCTCCTTGGAGGAAGAATTCCTCCATCAGCAGGCCAACCCATCGACGGTACAGGGGCAAGGGTTTCGTGGGGTTGGACAGATCGGCGCAGTGCACCAGGTTCTCAAGAACCTGTATACGGTCCGTGTAGTTGTCTAGCAGGAGGACACCGGACCCGGCTACCTTCTTCGTCTCCACCATGGTCTTCAGATCCGCCAGCAGCGACATGTGCTTCGACATGTCCGTCGACAGCACCATGTCGATTACCATCTTGCGGAGCGTCTGCCGCTGCTTCTTCGTCATGTTCACGAATATGTCGCAGCCCTCGTTCTGCAGGAGCTTGAACGCCACCGCCAGGTGGTGATTCTCCAGGACAGACTCGTCATTGTACATCAGGGCGAGCTCGGAACCTGATCGAAGCAAACGTGGCGAGGATTTAGTAATTGCTTCGTGGGTTAAATTGATTTAATAAATTTAATTAGCAAGCAATAAATTTAACACTAGATCTATCAGGCGGGCTAAATCAGCAATTCCTAATTTCTTCTTTTACAATGACTGTAAAGGTACAGACGCTTCTTTAAGGAATAATTAAAGAAGCTGAGTTAGTAATAGCTAAACTGGAATACAAGCCAATTGGAATCTTAATAAACTCACGCTCATAGCTTTTATTAAGGAGTTTTAAGAAGATGGTTTATGTGCTTGGTAGTTCTAGTGTTAATTTGTAATTAATAAATTCAATAAATTGAATAAATAACCAATAAGTTTAGGAAATCGGCGGAGTACTCACTCGAATTAATGAGGAACTGATTGGTGAGTCCAGGATGATCCACGTCGTGAATGGTGGCAGCGAAGAGGGCTGCAGTGATTTCCAATGGCGTGAACACGGACTGCAAGTAGACAAACATCTAGTTAGTTGGGGGGCTTCCTAATTAATGGCTCTATCAGCTGAAATATGCAAATTGCTATTGAAGGAGCGTGCCAAAGTCAAAGTAGGAGCTAAACTCCTCTAAAGAGACTCTAAAAGGCATTTCTCACACGAAACTTATTAAAGCTTTGTCATCTCACTTCAATAAATTTACAGTAAAATAGCAATGCTTTTCAGAGTGCCAAATTAACATTGTAATTTAATCAATTCAAAATTCTTGTCTTATTTTCAACCGATTCAATTGCAACAATTTTAATTATAGCTCGCTATATCGATAACTTTTAATTTACTCAAGTTCTTCGAGCGAAAGCTCCATCCACTGAATTTTTAATTATATATCATTGATCTAGAGCTTATAGGGCTGCGATTGGATTCAGGAGGATGTACAGAAAGGAAGGCAATACTGTTCTCGACAGGCTCAGGTTGCGAAACTTGATTTGGTGCAGAAGGTTCAGGCAATGAATATATATTAACCTCGAGTGCGGGCGTGTTGAGCAGAGCGTGGGTGGATTGGGTCACGTCGGCCGCGTGGAGGCTGTTATGGAAGGGATTGTCCTTGACGTAGTGATCCTCAAGGGTCATCATGAAGGTCACGAAAGTCTTCGGCGGTATGGCCAGGGATTTGAGCAGGTCTCGCCTCTGGAAGACTGTGTATGCAACGCAGGTCAGCGGTCTGTTGCTGCTCAGCTCGCCTATCCTGAAGATGTCGATGCCCCACTTGTCGATGTCTGACAGAAGCTGGAAATTTCAATATACATTGTCAGCTATGAGAACATTTGATAATAAATAGAACGATTTCATTATAAAAACTATTCTTCCTGTAATTAACCCATTGCCGCACACTTTTAGTTTTAAAATCCAAGAAACGCTGTTCTTTTAATTGTTTGTTACTGCAATACAGTTATATATTTGAAAGTGGAAATTATTACTGTATTACTGAAGAGTAAACAAATAAATGCAGTAGTGCAGTATGTACTAATAATGTTTTTTTTATTAACGCTACTTATGAAATTTTAATTGGAAATTATTTTCCTAGTTTAGTCGTGTCTTTTAATTCAATATTCGACGTTTCCAAGAATGATTGCAGAATTAACTGTAGGAAACGTCCAAAATTCAATTGAGGAGAAATGAATAAACTGAGAAAATAGTTTTAAGTTAAAATTTCATAAAATGTTCTTATGAAAAAACTGGCTATCTTTCATTTTGTAACATTCTTTCAGTTCTTAAATTTAAAGTTTCAGTGCCATCAATGGTTTAAAATTATTAACCTTTGCCCTATGATTTCTTTTAGAATTGTGATGAATCTATCTTTTGTTATTAATGATTTATTGAAAATAATTCTGGTTATATTCTCTGTCAATATCTAAGGTATAATCATTGGTAAAGAGGGATAATATGTAATTTGCATTCAAACAGATTTAATGATATTTATGTTTATTAAATTCTACTTGAAATCTTCACCAAAGGTCTGACCCGATATTCTAGGTCAAGAAATTTATTCTTTCCCTGAGAAATTGGATTTTTAGTTTAGAAATTGGGAATTTGTAGTGTTTGGGTATAGCTTCTAGATTTATAATTCTTTATCTGAAACTAAATATTAATTTTTGGGATAATTGTATCAAGCGGGTTGAGCTTTCTTAGGATTTATGCAACATTGATGAATCTTTGTTTCTTAGTGTTTTGTTTTGTTAAATGGTAATTTATATAATACGATAATATGTAATTTCCAAAATTACTGTATTATTAGAATTTATGTATCGCCACCTGGTCTAAACACACTCGTAAACGGATTCAGGGTCGAAGTTACCTAAGCCATTGACGTCAATGGAACCAAGACTACCAGTCAGATTGCCTTTTTGAACCCGTTTGTTTTTGTTTGCCCACCTCACGAAGTTAGTGAAATTTTTACTGCCGGGCTAAGTCAACTGTCTGAAATGCTCCTGTTGGTAGAATTTATATACCCATAACAACATAAATCTTTCGAAATAACACTGAATATCATAATTCATATCCGTAGTCTTTGGAAAATAAACAGGAATCAAGACCGTGGACTTGAAATTGTCCTAACTTCCAAAATTCTTTGTGAACATTTCAGAAATTACATTTCTTAATTTGCATCGATTGTGACTTTGGTGAATACTCTTTTGAAATAATCATTGAAGTGTTAGTAACATCTGTCATGTATAAAAGGGTACTTACAAAGTCAGTTCTAATTACTTTCTCAAATAGAAAATATATTACAATAGCTTCAACCTTCGAAATTAAAATAAAAAAAGAATCAACTCAATTCGACAAGTAGTTCTCAAAATAAAAATTCCCAAGTGCAACCAGTTTCTCGAAAATCAAGTAAAAATCGTCAAATTCAAAGGCCCCAGTTTTCCAAAGAAACATAAAACCAACAACACAATAACCAGAACTAAAAATATTTATACAATGCCAAAGGTGTATAAAGAAATATAACGTAAATTTAAACGATCTACAATGGCGTAACTCTGGAAAAAAAATTCCAAAGGTGTGCTGTAAACGGGTACTTCCAGATCAAAGGAAACCACTTGACATTAAGTGTCAACTACTCGAGAGCACTTAGCACTGATAGGCGATGTTCCAAGTGTTGCCAGAAGGACTGACTCACAAGAAATGGAAAGTTCCTTCTTATAATGTAGGTTACTGCAGAAGTTTCGGGAAAGTATGAGAAAAGTCACGAGAAAGTTTGAACCAATGGTTTTCTTATTCTTCAAAATATTATCCTTCAATATTAACCCTTTGAGAACGACTGTCAGCACTTTGGGGACATTAAACTTTGATATCAGAAACACAAAGTTACTAACGTATAATTGAATTATTTAAATAACAGAAGATCGATGGGGTTAAAAAGGTGAAATTTTCCATAATCTTGTGTTAGTAATTTCTACTCCCAGAAATGTGAATTTTCGCGAAAATAAAACAAACTGAATGGCAACGCTAGAAATGGCGAATTTCCGAAACTCAGCAAAACATTTTCCATTCTTTTACGTCAGCACTTTGTAACTGCAAAATTATGCATTTTTGTGAAAACAGAATAAACAACTAAACAACAACGCCGGAAATGGCAGATTCCCGAAACTTTCGCAGCAAAATATTTTCCATTGTTTTATGTTAGCGCGTTTTAATCTAAAAATTATGCATTCTTGCGAAAATAAAATAAACGACTGAATGGCAACGCTAGAAATGGCGGAATCCTAGAACATTTGCAGCAACCTACGATGAATCCTCTCAGAAAATGAGAGAATTATGAATGTAACATCCCGAACATGAAGATTATAGGGTGTCGCGTGCGGTTTTCCCACCATGTTGTAAATTAAGGTGAAACGATAATGAAGCCGATAAGGGATTCGGGAATTTGGGTTATCTGCTGCTCCTGACCTCGCCCCGAATCGTTCTAACCGTGCATGTGACCCGCGCGGGCCGTGACAAGCGTCAACAAAAATATTTCGTTCACTGTCTGCATAATTCTTCATTAGATTACATGCATCATATTTTGGACCAGTGAAATGGAGATTATTTTCTGGCAACTCATGATGTGTTTGTTATTTATCTACATGCTAATTCATCATCCACCCCTTTTCTACCCTCTTCATTGAATTTCAAATTATTGCACGGTACATCTATTCTTTACATCTATTCTAGAGAATCCTATCTCTATATCTATTCTAATATAGCATTAAATTAAACTTCGTTACTTTATATAATTTATAACAATACATTTCCAATAACAAAAACATGACATTCAACCTAATATTTCAAAGTATCCTTCGCACCCTTCTATCACAAACAAATGAAAACAAATAAATAAAACATGAAATTCAATAAAATCCAACTTAGCATTCAACTCACGTTACTTTTAACTAATTAATACTATTAACAAAAGGAAAACAGATTTTCTTCGATCTCAATGTCTTCTAATTTCTCTACAAAGGGGTGAGTTTCTATGAACTCCCCTATATTTATGGCGTTCCTTGTTCGCCAGTAGAAATTTCGAAACATTCAGCAAGGAACGTTCATTTTCGAGCAGAGGATAGTCGTTGCCAGGTATTCTCGCATTAGCGGTAACGAACCGAGCGGAATCCCCGAGCAGCGAAGTGGCACAAAGCATCAAATTGCTCCAGCTTATTTACCAAGTCCCTGGCCAAACAGCGTACTCGATTATCAGAGCTAACTCGATGCACAAAGAGATTCCCAGCGTCTGGTGATGGGTCACGTACCAGCCGAGAGGTTTTTCCGCCGAGAACTAACCGTCCTTTCTCAATTCTTTCCCTCCCCTGCGCCGCTAATTCGATAGCATAAGCGGGGACTAGCAAATATTTGATCATCGCGGCATCTTTCGCGCCGTTGGAAATTTCCTAGCCTAGATATATCCGTTTAGAGGAGTTGTGCATGGTTGCTGTCACTGGGAGTACTGAACAAACCGAAATGGGCTATTTCAGAAGCTTTGTCTTGTAATTAGTGACATTAAGAAGTGTTCTCCAATGTCCAAATTTCAGAAAATGTGTGGAATATTTCTAAGTATTGTTTACGTTATCAGTTTCTGAGGATATTTATTGCTGTTGTATAGTAGAGGAATAGTAGATATAGTACATGATAGTTATGGTAGTAGACACTTATATTTGACGTAGATATATAGTAGACGAAGAGATATAGTATAGAATAGCAGACAAAGAGAAGATATATTTACTATAATAGTAGAAAAATAATAGATATATACAATAGTAGACGAAAAGCAGATATAAGTACTATAACAGTAGAAAAATACTAGATACACTATATAATACTAGACCAATACTAAATATACTATACAATAGTAAACAATAGTAAATATATTACATAATAGAAAATGAAAAGCAGATATATCTACTATAATAGTAGACGAAGACCATACAGACCGACTATAATACTAAACGACCATCACACATACTCTAACAATAAAAAACCAACAGATTGGGTTAACCGCCAGTTAAACAGGTGACTAAAATCCTCTGCAACGCAGCTGCATAGTGACGGGAAACCGCGAGCCAAAGTGCACGGGGACATTTCTAAACATCTTCGACCCGTGTCTGGGAGATTACACGTGTCCCGAACCCTGTGCACGCCCGATTGATAACCGGACAACAAACGCGGAATTAACTGCGGATTAAATCGGGTGTACTGTCCGCCGGTTGATCCGATTTGCAGCCCAGCCGCGATCGGAGGATGCGGAAACCGGGACAACTGGTGTCGCGGCGAGTATATTTCTGAAATCCGTCGAGGATGTTCGATTCCCGTGTGTCCTTCTCGTGACAGTTTTCGAATTGATGGTGGACCAAAACATCGGGGACTAGTTGGGCAAGTGACGCGCGTCATGAGACACTGAATTGCAAATGGTGGCCTTCTTGGGATAGAAAGTATCGATGCCGATTAACGAATTTCGCTTTCACGACCGCAGTTTGTACTTGGCTGACGTTTGCGTAATTCGAGGATGTTAGGTCATGCGGTTCCTGATTCTTTGGGTTCTTATTTTTTTTCTTCTCGGCAAGATATGATCGCGTGAAGGTTATTTTGTTGGTTAAGTTATTGTACTGGAGGAATTCTTGTTTGTTCACGTTTTGGATGAATGTTTGATACTTCGTTGGTGGTATGGTAGATGTTGGTTTTTGGACCTATAAGGTATGCCTTATTAAGATCTAGCAATTTGTGATATAGTCATCACTTTAATTGCACAGAATCCAGAAAAACTAAAATAACATTCATCGAAAACTATCTAAGAACTATCACTTATTTGTTCATCGAAATATTATCTATTCCATCGAAACAAAATTTACCAAAAAATCGATCAATCGTCCAAAACCCCAAGAAATCTACTTATTTCCTCCATCCACTATCCATTATCATAAAATATCTATTCCATTGAAACAAAATTTACCCAAAAATGGATCAATCATCCAAAACTCCAAGAAATCTACCTATCTGCTAAATCCACTATCCATTATAATAAAATATCTATTCCATCGAAACAAAATTCACCAAAAAAAAGGTCAATCGTTAAAAACCCCATGAAATCTACCTATTTCCTCCATCCACTATTCATTATTCACCGAAAACCAGATATTACAATATAACGTGATGTTACCTTGCCAAGTTCTTCCTCGCTAGGCGTCTCGACACCGTAAAGCGGCACTCGTTCCCCAGTGAAGCTGTTCGTGTGCGTGAGCGGCCGTTTGACGCCGCTGATGTGAGACATGGCGGCTGGGCCCCGTTGTGCCCGGTCCTTCTTCTTGGCCGCCCTCGCATCTGCGCTGCCCGCAGCCGCGACCGCATCTTCGATTCTCAACGAGGGCAAATCCAATTCCTGTTGCTTGTCTGCGGCAACAAACGAACGAATAATTAACAAACGATCGACACCGATCGGCGGGTCAATTTAAAGAACTTCCAGGAACATCTGAGCTAATTAATTCGCGATGCTCCCGGCGACGACGACGACGGTCGAAAGCGATTTCACGGATCGACGGTCTCCGTGGCGTAATTTGTTTATGTAACACTCGCGTTTCTCGTTAGCCGACCTCGTTCCGCGCACCCGAGTGATTCGATTTCATTAATGAATCGATCCTGATTCGGAGATGACCTAGAACTTTGCAATATTCTCGGCGTTTCGGCTTGTGTCACGTGAATCTTCTGTTTGATGAGCTGGTTATTGAATTAAGCCATGATCGAATTGACCCGGGATTTTTAATATTTTGTTTACTGGCGGTTTTGTGATATGAATTTTCTGTTATGTAATTTGATGAGTTAATTAGTAGATAAGATTGAAGGATGATATCAAATTCTGAATGTTGTTATTTATGTTGTTGTCTGGGGATGTTTCTATTAAGTTAGTTGGTTATTGAATTAAGATTCAATTTGGATATGTGAAGCTTGAATCACTGAAAATTTTATTTAAATTCTCTATTAGTTTGAGGTAGTAATTATTGAATTAAGATTCGAAGGTGAGCCAGGATTTTGAATATTCCCTTTACTGGCGTTATTGGGATGTGAAATATATAAGCAATCCTTATCTTTTCCTTGACGCGAAACTTAATACTGAAACTTTGAATATATAAATATTCCTTGGATAGCAACACAAAGTTTTCAATACTAAACATTGTACTTCCCAAAATGTCGAAATTCAATATCGAAAGGTTAAAGATATATGAATACTCCTCATCTCTCGATAGAAAACCTTTAATACCGAACATTGCAATTTTTCCTTACTATAAAATGCAATATCGAAACTTGGGAAAATAGAGAAATACCCTTTAGAAGTCAACAGAAAATTCTCAATATTGAACTTGGTGATTTCTTTAACGGGAAATTTAATATCGACAACCCGAGAATAGGGAAATATTCCTTAGAACTGGGCAGAAAATTTTCGATACCGAATATTCCGAGTTTTCCTCCGTATGAAATTTAATATTCGAGGTTCAAGAGCATGAAAACTTCCTGGATTCTCCGTGAAACCGAGTGGAAGTGTTATTCTTCGTTCCGGAGCACCTTTGGGAACGCATGTTTACGTAAATCGGGCATTTCCCGATTCACCGGGCAAAAAGGAGCACAAAGAACGAGCCTGCCGGGATGAATGCTCGAGAAATATGCGCGCGTCTACGGGGTCTCAAGGGCCTTTAATGCGTAAGAGTCGGAGCTCGTTTCATTGTCCCTGATAAATGTGTTCTGCTGACGGCGACCTCGCCTGATCCATCGCTTTTTCTTCTTTTTTAGACGCGAGTGATGCCAAACCGTGAGCTCGATCGATTTAGACTCGGAATGGAATTTAAATTAGTTCGATATTACCCTGTTCATCTCGGAGCTTATTAAGCTGGTATGAATTTTAATAATTATTATCCTCATTTTGTAATGTTTCATAATTTATAGTAATTGATAGGTTTTATCATAATTTATAGTAATAAATTTTTATCGTAGTTTTATAATAATTAATAATTTTTATCATAGTTTACAGTAATTAATTATTTTCATCACAGTTCTGCAATGCTTGATGGTTTTAATCATAATTTAGTAGTAATTAATAATTCCCATCACAATTTATAACAACTAATATCTATATTAATAAATTTGTAACGTAGAAGTGTAAGATTAGGTTTAATAACTTTTCAGATATGTGGAAACTACAATTGTCTATAATTTAAGATGGAAATTTATTTAATTGGTTTCTATGTTTGATGATGATTGAGATTAATCAGATATGGATTTAGTATTGTAGATTTACTATTGATTCGATGAGAGTGAAATTGAATCTATTTTCAGTTTCAAGTGAAAATAAATTAGTTTTTCTGTCGCAAACATGTATGAGTAACTATTTCGTTAACTTACCGAGGAAAGTGCTGCAGATGTACTCCGAAATCTGATTGCCAGACTTCGAGGACTCTGAGAAGTGGGAGAGTTCCTTGTTCAGCATTCGCTTGAACTGCAAAGAAAAAAATAGACCAGTTAATAATTGTCAATCACGCTATTTTATTATATACAGAAAAGAAACGTCTAAAATTCGTTGCTCCGAAATTAGAAATTATCTGTGGAATCTCGGGTTAAGAGAAGTGGTTTATAACTTCGTACAAAAATGCCACGGTCGAATGGCAGAATTGATTTGATCCAGCTCAAAAACTACATTTTATAGTCCTCAATAAAAAGAAAGTTACATTTCTAAGAGGACAGCTGAACAAACATTAAAACTGCTGCACTATAAGATCAAGAAACTGTTTCGTCATGCGACTACAGGATCCTGAGACTGAACAGCTTAGGATCCACTATATAAACATGTAAAATGAACAAACAAATTCATCCATTGATCCAGGATCTACTAAAACCTTGACATTCCCAAAAACTGATAGATGTACCAAAAATTTTGCAATATCATTGCCATGTTAAACAAGGATTATTGACTTTAATGGATCAACAGTTGAGAATATATTTACCATAAAATTTTCTTAAACAATTTTTATCTACTAATTATTAAGTTTATAGTTTCATGAAATAATTCCTAGTAGTTCTAGTTAATACTAGACTTCATAGTCTCATCTGAATTTTAACAAAAAATCCAAATATTACAATGAAATATTTTCAATTAAAAAATCCTTATCTACTAATTATTAACTCCACAATTCTACTAAATAATCCCTATTAGTTCTAGTATTAAATCCCACTTGAATTTTAATCATCTTTCAACAACCAACAATAGCTCAAACATTACCATAAAATGTTTCCAATGAAAAAATCCTTATTTACTAATTATTACCGCCCAAATTCCATTAAATAATTCCTAGTACCTCTTGCATTAAATTTTAATTTCAAAATTTAAACTTTAACAATCCTTCAACAACCGACAATAGCTCAAATATTACCATAAACCGTTCCCAATGAAAAAATCCTTATCTACTAATTATTCGCTCCCAAATTCCATTAAATCCCTAGTACCTCTTGCATAAAATTTTAATTTCAAAATTTAAACTTTAACAATCCTTCAACAACCGACAATAGCTCAAATATTACCATAAACCGTTCCCAATGAAAAAATCCTTATCTACTAATTATTCGCTCCCAAATTCCATGAAATAATCCCCCGTAGTCCTAGCATTAAGTCGCATTTGAATTTTAACAAGAATCTCAGCTGCCTTTCATAATAAACTGCAAAACCAGCGAAAGGTGGGGACGGAAGCTCGTCAAACAAGAAACGAGACGCTCGTTTCCGATTCGAGGATCGCTTATCTCGCGGAAATTTACGATATTTGCAGCCGGTGTGTCGTGCATGAAATTTCGACGCAGATAGACGCGCACTCACGCACACACTGTGGAATAAACTGTGGACACAGAAAGCCGCGGGATCGGCAAACAGATCTCTGGTACCGTTGTCTGGGCATTAACACGTGTTATCAGCTCGGTGGCAGCCGGCGAAGGGATTCCTCTCTCTATCCTTTACGATTACGCGGACGTGGATGTAGGTGTGCTCTCGAGGCGCAACTGGAAAGGTGGACTGACCTGTTATCGAATCGATTGTTTTCTGAACACGATAAAACAACCTCGAGCTCGACAAACATTCTAATGGCGAACCTTCCCACCTCTCGCGTTCCCTTTCCTTTCGGTTTTCCGTTTCCTTTTTTTCAAGGTGACGTCGGACTGGTTGTAGAATTTTTAGAGATTACGGAATTTTCGGGGTTAGAGGATTTTCAGGGTTTAGAGAGGTTAGGGTGTTCGGAGAATTTGGAGAATTTTCGAAGTGTAGAAAATTTAAGGAACTTAGAGAGAATTCAGAGAAATTTGAGAATTTAAAGAATTTAAGGAATTTAAGGAATTTAAGGAATTTAAAGAATGTAAGGGATTTAAGGAATTTAAAGAATTTAAAGAATTTAGAGAGTTGCAGAATTCAGGGAGTTTACAGAATTTAGAGAAATTAAAATAGTTTGAGAATTTTGATAATTTAGGGACTTTAAAGAATTCAGAAAATTTACTGATTGTTTTAAATATGAAATTTACAAAACACCATGAGGAAAAATGTTGATTTCAATTCTGTTCAATTTGTCTGATTAAATCCACTTAAACTGCTGTTTTTCAATTTACCTAAATTGTTCTGTTCGCTTGAAATATTTCTCGTTTTACGGTTATAAAAATACCAATATTACAAAACACGCGATGAAACTTCTCGATTAATCTATTAATATTTATTCTAAACGACCACAAATAATCCCGCGAATAATCTAATTACATAACACCGGGTACTCGTGATATTCGCTTAACGTGACCGGTTGTATAATCGATAAGACGATAATCTTATCCGTGACAGACAATTCCCTAATCGATGTAAATCACTGATTTGCCGATAAAACGATTTATTGCCGGTATAAATACATAGATCTGGCATTGCCTTATCGTGCAAACGCTTTTGTGAAACTCTTTCGCGATAATATAATCATGAGAAATTACCGTCACGCCATGGTCTTCGCGCTTACGTTAACGAAATATTTGTTCCACGAATACCTCGCGATGTTGCGATTGGTCAGGGATGTTAATCGTCGCATTTCAATATATAGGAAATTGTCTGATAAAATAAATACCGTAATATAAAGTACTTTAACATCCAAACGATAAAAGAATTCTAAAACCTTCATACTTTCTCATCTGAATCCATTAAAAAGAAAACAGGAAACATTTTTAAAAAAATCAAAATTTCGATACAATAAATATAATCTACGTTCCAAAGTTTCGAACTGAAATTTAAATTTACAATCTCGAAATTTTTATCTCTTTCTCGCCGCTAAAAGTAAAAAAATTACATTGCCCAAAATAATAAACAAACCAGTGCACTCGAATTTCGTTTAACGAATTAAAAATATTCCATAACTGGCAAAAATGAAAAATGTTATAACATTTCTTAGATTTCTTCATTTTCTTTCATAATACAAAGTTTGTATGTAGAAAATTCAATTATCTCAAGGTGGTTTTTTAGAATTTATTCATTAAAATATTTAATAAGCTATTAATATTTAATTAATATTATACTATACTAATTTTCAACCTTTTAAAGATGCAATTCAATTATCGAATAAAGACATTTTTTATTGTAAAACTATACTAAAAATATTATACTATAACAAACCATACAATATGAAAAACATTGTGGTAATATTAAAATATTTAAAATAAATCATCAAATGATCGTTTCTTGGATAATCCACTCGACGAAAGTGAAACACCTCAAGGAACGAATGATTAGCACTGTAGTCACGTTATCGTGACCGCCATCGCGCGAGCCTAATTGTTCGGGTAATCGGAAATCGACAATCGTGAATGTTTACGCTGACGTGTTGGGACTAGCTTCGAATTATGCCATCATCATCGATGATGGGGCGGTGGGGATTCCGTGATGCTCGCCGGAAGCCTGATTTATGCGGTTTCTTATCGATGTCTCATCATTAAAAATGGATCATCGTAAATTTCTAAGGAGATTTAAAAGAAATATTGCGCGGAATGCAGGCCGTACGAAGAAATAGATGAAATATTTAAACATTTGCGTTGCAAAAGTATTTCAATGGAAATATCCGACATTTTCTGATTAACGAGAAATCATACGTAAATTATGAGCATTCTTTTTGTTTTAATGTTTCACGTATTGATGCATCATACGAAGATTAATAGTAAATATTAAATTTTATAATTTTGTATGTATTAAATCAATTTAATTAAATGGAAGGGTTAAAATGTAGTGCGTTTTGTAGAAGTAAATCTTGATTAATACCAATTCAAATAATTGATTTAATATTGTGAGATATTCTTTCGTTGATGCACTATTAAAGTACTTGGTAAAGTAATGAATATAATTATTTTATTATGAATTAATAAAGTATATACAGCAAGATTTATTTAAGAATTTTTGTTGCATATCTTTTCTAAATTAGAACCGATTTGTTTGTATTTAAGGCATTCGAGTGGTGTAGATTAGAATAATAAGATTAATTTGTGGGATTCATTTGTTAGACTAATTAAGATTTACTTCCAGTGGATTTTTAAGGAAAATTATGATTCATTGTAACTTTATTGTTTTAATTATATTATGTACAGATCGACGGTATACTCGTGTCTGAACCGGTTTCCTGCTATCTAAGATCAAACGTTAAGCAAATTAACCGAGAATCTCACATTACCGTTGCTCACAGTCCCGTGATCGTGGAAAAATACACGATCGTTATGCTTAGGGTGACGAAAAATCACGTGAAAAATCGCGAGATTTTTTTGATTTCTCTTAAATGATAGACGTGGAATATGTATGCTAAACTAATATTTGATTGTGGATTTTCAGTCAGCTGTTTCTTGCCTTTCTTTTTCTAGCGAAGTACCTGATAAATGTTTGCACTCTTTTGTTTGAGATTTTGTGATCGTACTATGTTTTGTGAGAGCTCGTTTATTTATGATTCTCTGTATTTGGATTTGATAATTTGATAATTTGATAATTTGATAATTTGATAATTTGATAATTTGATAATTTGATAATTTGATAATTTTATAATTTTATAATTTTATAATGTTACAATGTTACAATGTTACAATGTTATAATTTTATAATTTTATAATTTTATAATTTTATAATTTTATAATTTTATAATTTTATAATTTTATAATTTTATAATTTTATAATTTTATAATTTTATAATTCCATAATTCCATAATTTAATAATTTCATAATTTCATAATTTTATAATTTTATAATTTTATAATTCCATAATTCCATAATTTTATAATTTTATAATTCCATAATTCCATAATTTTATAATTTTATAATTCCATAAATCTATAATTTTATAAATTTACGAAGTGCAAAGGGTTAACGTAAAATTAGAACACGCTTCTTATTTCCAAAAACACGAGCACACGAATAAACTGAAAAATAACAAGTTCGTCGTCATTATACGACACGTAAGA